GTCCTATTAATTTACAAGGATTTGAGTATTATGAAACATTTCGCTCCGCGTTCTTCAATAGTCGGAACAATTATTGCGCCGACTTTCAAAGAAAGTGACGCAATTATTGTTTTCAGCGTGTTTTTTTATCTTGGCCAATTTCTATTTCTCAACTGTAACTCTTTTTGTTGAAACAACTTTCGTAACAACCAAAGGGTATTGTTGTCTTGAGCTCAAATTTAAAAAGTAATTCAGTTGTGGGTCTAAGGCAAACTTCCGCTATGTCAAATATCCGAAATTACTTTATAATTACGTAATAATATGACAAGACGTCGTTGAATTAGCTGATTCCACTTTAGCCGACTTTCGGTTAAAGACCACTGTTAAGCGCGCATCGCCGTGCGCGCGGCGCATTACTGCTCTGATTTTTATATAGAGTGCTACGTTCTCGCAACACGTTGGTTAAAATTGCAACACGTTGCGGCGGTCACTTTTAGCTCAACTATTACAGCTTGATTTAAGCGAACGGTATAGAAATTTAATTTTTGCTCTACATTTTGAAAAAGGTGTGATGTATGCCCTAGTGAAGTTGTTTTCCGGATGTTTTTTGGATATTCTTTGTAAATTATGATGGCTGATTTGGCCAATTTAGAATGGTTAATGCGCGATGTATTTTAAAGCGGAGATTTCAACAGTCTTATAAATGGTTCCTAAATGATTTGGGACATGCTATTTGGTCTATTTAATACTTTGCTGTATGCAATGTCTGCAAAATGGGGCTTGGTTTTTTGACCAGACCGACTTTTCACCAAACCACAACAAAATAATTTATTTCAGACAAATCAAAATTAGAGTCATTTGAAATAGAATTTGTCAAAACCAGAAAAAATTTCGCTGAAAAACTATGAAATAATTTGTCTTTAACCAGACTAAACGGCGTCTCAACGTCTCTCAATCAAATTTTTTTATTCACTCTGGTAAAAAGACCGTGTTGTTATTTTTCTGGTAAAAGGTCTGTCTGATAAATGTCGGTCCTCATGCAAAATATATCACTTGCTACTTTGATGACATATCAATTTGCATGATATATCATTTTACGTGAAATATTGCTCGAAACTTGCTCAGCAACTGATTACCCTTATTTTGGTTCGGTTTATTCAATTTTTGCAAAAAAAAGTAAGAGAAAAACTATTTATGATTCATGTGAGCTACACACCAATATATACTAGCTTTGTGGGGGAGCGCGCGCCGAAAAAACGCGATATTTTTTTTGTTAATAAATTTTCCAAAAGGTAGCTAAAAACGCCTTTTTGGCCGTTTTTTTAAAATTTTGCCTAAGGCGCAGAAAATTTAGTCAAAATGGGGTCTTTATAGTGATTTAGGAGATTTCAGAAATCAATTTGGTCGGCATAAAAAAATGTCGTCAAATTTTTTTGAGATTTTTTTGAAAATCTGCCCCACCCCTCGAGAAAATTGTAGATCCGCCTCTGAGTGGAACAATTTTAAGAAATTGGATAAGAAAATTTAAGAAAATGGATAATAAGAAAGCGAATGTTTTCTTTTGCTTCCAAAAAAAATTCATGACGAAAATAACAAAAAAGAACGGAAAATAAAAAAAAAGAAAATAACAAAAAACGGAAAATAAGAAAAAAACGGAGAAAAACAAAGAAAAAAGAAAAAAAAAACAAAAAAATAAGGAAAAAAGGAAAAAGACAAAAAACAACGGAAATTAACAAAAAAAGGAAAAAAGTAATACGAGCGAAGAAAGAAACCTGTTGGAGTAGGAAGTAGTGAGTGAGGTTTGAGTGCCTCCGTGAAGTTGAGCACTGGCCGCACATTGGGGTCATAGAGCCAGAGAAGGTCTTTGTGTCAGTCGACGGATGGGCGTGTCCTTATTTGAGGTCCACGTCGTCAGACTACACACGCAACAAAACACACATTAGATCGATTGGGGTAGGTGACACAGTGGTTAAATGACACATGAAAACATACACAAATAATTTTCAGACGAGCATTTCGGAGGGTGGGTGGGGGAGGGTGCGTATGTGTTGGGGTGGGGGGGGGGGGAGGGCGTTGTAGCTTGTGCGCTTTCTTTTCTCGCGGATTTAACCCCTGGCGGCCCATAAAACCTCCCATTTAGGAGCTTTTGCTCTCTCGCTACCAAACCCCCCCCCCCACCTCACACAAGCATCATTTTTGTGGTAAAACCATTGATTGTACAAGGTTGATTATGAAGACCAAATATGTTTGTCATTGACTATTTAGTCTGCATGTTATTTTAAAATAATAATCGGACAAAGTGAGCAATCAGTTTACTTGTAAAAAGTTGCAGGTGAGGGGGAATGAAAAAGAGCCCCTATTTTTCTTACTAGATTACCACATCCATTGTCAGTCAACAATCCAAAAAGCTGCCTTTAGCGCTAATATACACAATTTGTGAAAAAACTGCTGAGAAAATTGTGTCAAAATACGCTATTCTTAATTGTGTGGGACAAATTTTGTCAAATTTTTTGATTTTTTTTTCGAAAATCCAACCCCCCCTCCAAGAAAATCCTCACTCGACAGAATTTAACAAATATATCGGAAACTTCTGAAAACTTTGAATTGATCTTGACCTTTGAGCAAAAACTCATCTTCAAACGTATTTTTTACCTTTAAACTCGAGTAGCTCTTTAACCTAGAAAAATCTGTTTTCTTAAAAAAAAACTGTATATATTTTTTGTAAAATGCTTCGGCCAAGAAGTTCGACAACAGTTTGCCGTGCATTAAAAATTCGGTTTGATGAAAAATGCCAAAAAAATCAAGCAAAATTTCCAAGGAAGTTTCAAGACATTTGGTCAAAAAATATTATTCACTTCAAAGCCGGGCTTCAGTTGGAAAAAAAACTAAACTATTACGCTATAGTATTTAAGAACAAAGATTGCTCAAGGTCACCATTACTGGCTACAATTTTTTCTTTAGAAATATGAAAAGAATTGTCATAGCGGAAAAAGGACCTGACACAATGGAAGAATAAAGTCGGAAAAAAATTGAATTTTTTTAAAAAGTTGAAGATAGACATTGCACTTGTGGTTTTTCCGCCTTGCACCATTTGTTCAATCTTTTGCAAGGAAAATCAAAAAATATCATTTGCTTGTGCGAAACTTTGATGGTAAGGCTTAAAAAATCATTTTCAGGCTTGAATAGGTTACTACGTCGGGCTTCAAACTTAAAGAAAAACTCCAAATTGATTTTATCAAGCTGGGAAACAGATGATTCGGACGGACAAACGAGCAATTGATTTGATAGTCATGGATCTGATATCAATTAAAATTCGGCAGCAAAAAAAACTGACCATACGGTACAAAGCCCAAAATAAGTCTGACGAGGATACAGACCTCAGAATTGAAAAGATTTGACGAAGATACGGACATCGCAATCGAAAAACTGTGACTAGGATCCAGACATTGAAACCAAAGAGATGAGACGAAATTCTGGACATCGAAACTAAATAGATTTGACAAGGATCCGAACATCAAAACCGACAAGATGTGACGAGGATCTGGATATCGGAATCGAAAAGATGTAATGATGATCCGGACATTGGAACCAAAAAAATGTGACGAGTATCCGGACATCAAATTTGAAGAGATGTGACGAGTATCCGGTTTTCGGAACCAAAGAGATGTGACAAGTACCTGAACGTTGGGACCAAAGAGATGTGACGAGGGTCCGGACATCAGAACCGAAGAAATGTGACCAAGATCAGAAGACGGCAATCCAAATTAGTGAATAATTGAGAGCCGATTTTCTCATCAAGTGTATAATGGAAGCTGAAAGACTTCTAGACCTCAAGGTGGTGGTGATTTAGAGCAGTACGCTTCAAGGTTTTCGTAAATCAACCATTTTAAAAATTAATGTGAAAAAATATCCGATATTTAAAATGAATTTTTTGCGTCGCTTTCACGACAGTTGCGACAAGATCAGCAACCAAATCAATGTAAGCCCATCTTCAGGTAAAAAAGATAATAATTGTCCTTAATCAAGTCAATGTTAATTTCCAAGTCTTCGATTGCTCAATCATCAGTTCAAGAAATGACAATGGAGGAGAAAATGAGATCAAGAGTGATGCAGTCATAAGAATGAATACAAGACTTAATTGAAATTGAAAGCACCAAGAGAAGCTGAATTTTTCCAAATGAGGAGGACACTTACACGTCGTCAAGCGGCATACTAAAATTTTAAATTTGAAATTAATACATTTTATGCCCAATATCAGCTGTTTGACAGAAACTTTGATAGAAATAATTAAAAGCAGTACTGTTTCAGTAAAGCAGCAGTAGAAAATAGCTCTTCAGAAACTGTGCCAGTGCTGTATTAGATAGAACTTATAAATTCCAAAAAATCAATCGCAGTGTTGATTCAGTGTTAACTTTGGTTCTGTCTTTGTGTTTCGATAGTTTTGACCACATTGGAAAACAGAGATATTTATGCTTAATCAAGATGCTAGCCCACAATTGAATTTGACGCTCCCACAATCCGACGCTCTCAGCTTGCTCTAATGCTACATCTACGCTACACTCTATCCTAACTTTCACTATATTGCATAGAATAAATCTCCAGGCAGCGCATAAATATATCACATATATTTATATGTTTAAAATCAAACAACAAATTTTTGAAATATTTGGAGAAAGTCAATCCAGGTAGATGTGGTTTTTTCCACCTTGCACTGCATGCTAATTTTTTTGCAACGCAACTTCAAACAGTATCAATTCCTTGAAAATTATATCATTTTTTGTTTGTCTTAGCCTTTGTTTATCAGGCTTAAAAAATCAATTTGAGGCTTTTCTCTAAGTCTGAATTCGTTATTAAATGTTCAAAATTCAAAAAGAGCATCATATTGATTTTATTAGGACGGTAAACAATTGATTAAGACAAACGAGCAATTGATTCGATAGTAATGAACCTGACAACATTTGAAAATCCGCAGCAAAAAGAATGAACATGCGGTACAAAGCGAAAGGTACGACTGACGAGGATCCGGATGTCAGCATCGAAGAGATTTGACAAAGATCCCGACATCGGAACCGAAGAGATGTGACAAAAATCCGGACATCGTGACGAGTATCCGGTTATTGAAACCAAAGAGTGTGACGAGGATCCGGACAATCGGTATTTTCGACCGTGCTCGAGTTATATGTCGGCCGTGCTCGGCCGTGCTCGAGTTTGTTTCAAACCTGCTCTACTTTTGATTCGAAGTTCTGCTCTACCCAAACCCCGTCTCAAGACAATTATTTTTGGGTCAAGCACTGAAAATTGACGCGTAATGACGTCAAGTCATCAGTTGCCAAGTATTCCCCGGGTAGACGGCCTCCCTTTATGTTGGCCTCATTGCCAAAAATTGCTATGTTTTGACTGTTTCGACCAAAATTCGGTATTTTTAAACCGTTCTCGACCAATTTTCGGTATTTTTTGACCGTTTTCGGCCAACATAAATGTGCTCGACCCAAGCAAGACATGTTTTGACAGTTCTCGGTTAGTTTTGAGTAAATTTTGACTTTCAAACAACATGAGTTATCTAAATTTAAAGGTAATAGTTCATGCTTTTTGGGTAAAATCATGTTTTGCTTACGAATCACAATCCAATGAATAGAGTTATTTGCAATATAAAAACTTTGTAGAGATGAACTATCTTTAATCGTTTTGAAAGGTTGTTTGCAATTTGAGTCAAAATGTTAAAAATTATAATGATATGTGAAAAAAACCTTTTTGACTGCGAATTAAGGCGGGACAATCGGTAATTTTGACCGTGCTCGATGCGTGTTTCGGCCGTGCTCGAGGTATGTTTCAACCGTGATCGAGGTATGTTTTGACCGAGCTCGAGGTATCGAAATTGTGCTATACACAAAAATCTCTCTCTCGATTGTTCTTTCTTGGTCAGGCACAAACATGTGCTCGACTTTGAGTGTGGAAAAATAAAGTGAGCACCTCGACCCGGGTCAATTGCGCAATCATCAGTTCATGAAACGACAATTAAGGAGAACTAGAGATCATTAGTGATGCAGTCTTGAGACACTCATCAGGCATAAACTCATCATCAGTGATGCCATGGATATTCGTACCATTTCAGTAAGGCAGCAGTACAAAAATAGCTCTTCAAAAAGTGTGCCAGTACCGTATTAGATAGAACTTATAAAATCCGAAAATCAATCACAGTTTTAATTCAGAATAATTTCGGCGCTGTTTTTGTATTTCGATGGCTCTGATCACAAAAAATTTAAAGGAAATACAGCTGAGATAACTATATGGGCAAACAATTGGTATAGGACTTAATCCCTTGGGATAAAATTCCACAGGACAAAACCATCCAGGATGAAACCCCCATTGGTCGATATCCCTAGAGCAAAATCCCTCATATTTCAACCTATCATCCAGGGAATGGGACGTGTATATAATTAAGCATTATGAAATAAGGTTTCAAATGAATTAACTTTGATTTGAATTTCATATAAGCAAAGGCACGCATCGCCATTTTGACATGATTTTAAAAAATTCTTTTACCAACCCATTTTTAAAATATATTAGAAAAGAGCACTTCTATCATCAAAAATAATAAGCCATGTGGCACAGCCATTAATTCAGAAAAAACGAAATTAAGTTGAACACTTTGGTGTGAGTTACAAAACCAGGTGCAAAAAAAATCATTGGAATGGAACAAGTGATCTACCACACTAAAACTTTTTCAGTCGTGATCCAAACGACACTAAAAATTAATGAAAAATTTTGTTGAAAAGTGTCGAGAAAAACCAGTTTGATTTTTTGATTTTTGGTCTAATTTCAAGCTAATAAGTTGAGCAATTTTAAGGGGTTTTCGTAAGTTCATTGGATTTAAGTTTGTTGTGACGCGGGCAGAAAAAACTCATAGAGCATAGTTTGAGTTAATCGATCAACTGTACCGTTTCAGTAAGGCAGCAGTAGAAAAACAGCTCAGTATGAGAACAGGTATATAACCCGAAAAAACAATCCCAGTTGCTGTTTTTGTTTTTCGATAGTTTCGATCACAACAAACTTAGTGGAAGAACTGTTAAAAACTTGCTGCTTCCTCAGTATGCTCTAATGCAAAATCTACGCCACATATGTCTAATTTTAAATGAACTGAGTAGAATGTATGTCTAAGAAGCGGATAAAATTTAACTGTGTGTTTGAAAGTGAAAAGCAAATGTTTTGAAAGTTTTCCCTGATTTGACGGTAAATCAGTGAAAACAAAATTCTTGCTCGTCCTGAATTCAGTTTAATTAATAATACTTCATTTAATTGCGTTTTTTTCTGGACTTTTTCAACTTTTCTGCATCATCTAAAAATTTGCATCAATTTAAAATGTCGTACATTTCCCGCACATTTTTCTATTCCCCAAGTGACTTGCGTGGAGTTTCCCTCCTAGCCACGCAATTATCTTGAAAGTTGTTTCCGCATAAAATAGTCGTTTTAAGCTAGCGCGCAGAATATTTTGCTTGAGGAAAACCTCCACTGGTATAGCTATTTCTTTGTTAATAATTCAAAGTATAAAGCATTGTTTAAATAATTTTTTGGTTGATCAGATTATATTATGTGCCCTAAAAATTGATTTCCAAAAAAATCAAAATATATTTTTTCCAGCTGAATTTATTTTGGGGCTAATTGTGCAATTGATGTGTGAAGTTTTAGTAAGTTTTACGCTAAAGTGTTTTGATACAACTTAGAACAACAAATATTATTGTTCCGACTATTTGAAAAATATGGAGGAGCTTTCTATTCGAGTTTGTGTTTTCGTTTCAATTCTTTTTTGTCTTTTCACGCAAAAACAGGTGCAACAAAAATCATTGGAATGGAACAAGTGATCTACCATACTAAAACTTTTTCAGACGTGATCCAAACGACAATAAAAAATTAATTGAAAAATTTTGTTGAAAAGTGTCGAGAAAAACCGGTTTGATTTTTTTGATTTTTGGTCTAATTTCGAGCTAATAATTTGAACAAGCAGGTTTATAATAGTTTATTTAAACTTATATTCAGCCGTGAAAATTTAGTTGACTCGAGTAAAGTCAGTTTTTGGAGTTTTTAGCGCCATTTTGGGAATCAAAATTTTTGAAGTAGTTTTAAATTGGTTTCACTTTTTTTCGTTTTCGGTGCTAGATATTAGTGACTTGATTTACAGTTATTGTCAAAATAAATAATATCTCTTTAGGTCAAAATATCTGACGAAGTAAAAACTCAAAACTGCTGATCTCGACAGCTAAAATTGAGTTGAAAAAAAAACGTATCGAAAATCTAAATAACAAAAAACCAATAAGGAATTGCAAAAAATGTAGCAAGTAGATTGTTTTCAAAACAACAATCTGCCAATTACAAACAACAGTTGCGAGCCACTTTCGTTTTCAGGCGAGCTTGAGACCCAACTTTTTCTTTGCAAAATTTTTTTCCAGGATAAGTAATTTACTCAATTTTCAATTCATTTCGTTTGTTCTCACTTTTTTATACAATGTTGATTAAATATGTCTGATTTGAAACACTGGACAACATAAAAAACGGACTTTTCAAATATGGCTTTCTCTAGTTGGGTGTTCTTTGAGAGTAAAAAGACGAGAACAAAGCTAGAATTTTAGCAGTGTTTTTAAAGTGCAATTCGGGCCCAAAAAATTACCCAAAATTTGATCAATTTGGGCTTGTATTTTCTCATCCAAACATGCCATAACTGCTACTACTAGTTAATCTACTGGTAAAATTATACCAAAGTGAGACTGGGATCGAAATCAAAAGTTAGTATTCATTTTTTTTTCGTTTGAGAACGAAAATTATCAATTTGTTATTAAAAAAAACATAATTGTGCGCAAAATTTTGGAATGAATTCTTTTTTGTTGGGCTCCAAAGGATTCTTTTTTTTTAAAATTAGTTTTGTTAGTGGTTGTTTTGGCATTATTTTTGGTTGGCTCAAAAACACCATCTGAAAAGATCCGTTTTTGAGGTAAGACTTTAGGATCGAAGTGAGCACCACGAAATTGCACCATAATATCTTTGCTCAAGTTAAATTAATTTTGGATTTTAAACCCACCCTATTGAGAAAACCGCTAGTTATTTTTCAAGTTATTTTTCAAGCTAAATTTTTTGAGAAATAAAACTGCTGGAGGTCATCAATTTTTACAAAAAATGTCATAGCAAAAAAAATGTGAACATCATAGAAGAAACCCGGAAAGAAAAAAATTTTTTTTTAAGAATTGAGGTGGTCATTCCAGGCATGATTGTTTTTCTGCCAAGTACCGCGTTTTCAATTCCTTTATGTCAAATCGTATCATTTCCTAAAATATCGGATCAATATCCTATTTAATCGATTCTTTGTTTTTCATGCTTATAAAATCAATTTGAGGCTTTTCTTAAGGTTTGACTATGTTACTATTTGTTCAAGCTTGATGAAAAGCATCATTTTGATTCTAATAAAATGGCAAACAAATAATTCATACAAAAAATTGATCCAAAAATTAAAGACTTGATATGAGGATACCTCAAGGACAATACTAACGTATATCTCAAGGTTTCCGTGTATCAAACATGTTAAAGTTAAATGAATAAAAAGACCTAACCTTCATTATGAATTTCTTGCCATGTTTTTAGCACAGTCACGACAAATTTAGCATCCAGATCAGTATAATCCCATCTGCATCAGATGAGAAAAGAGAAACATTTTTGCGCAATAAATTAGGTTCATCAGTTACAAAGTCTTCAATGGCGCAACCATCAGTTCAAAAAATGACAATTGAGAGAAATTGAGATCATTAGTGATGCAGTCATGAGAATGAACACCAGACTTAATTGAAATTGAAAGCACAAAAAGAAGCAAACTTTTTGGGAAAAAAAAGCAAGAACACTTACACGTCGTCAAACTGTATACTGAAATTTGAAGATTGAAAACGTTAAATATTATGGCCATTGTAAACTGTTTTACATTTTAAAAATAGTTTCTGCAAGTTCAATGGACTTCAATTTTTTGTGACGCGGGCAGCAAAACTCTTGGAGCGTAACTTGAGTTATTTGATCAGCCCGGATTGATCTGCCATTCATACCAGCACCGTTTCAGTAAGGCAGCAGTAGAACAACAGTTCTGTAAGTCTACTTGAAGTTCTGTAGGTACTGTGTCAGTGCTGGTTTAGCTGTGATAAAATATAAAAGCCGAGAGACAAAATCGCGTGTTGTATTTGGTATTGCATCATCACTGTTTTCGGTTTTCAATAGTTTTGATCATAACAAACACAAAATCAAATTACAGAGATTATTATATGAGCATAAAAACGTGCCAGCCCAAATTTGAGAACTCGATCCGATGCTCCCAGTCTGCCTACCACTAAGCCACATCTGCTTAATTTTCGGTATGTTGTGTAAAAAATTCCTGAAAAAAAACCATTTTTCCCCCAAAATTGATTTGGAGAGGAAGGGATTGTGCGGTTGATCCGTAAGAATTTATTCATTTTTACGTTAAAACAAAAAAAACGTTTTAATAAATCTTCGTTAAATGAATATTAATGAGAATAAAAAACGAATGAAACTGAAAAAGGATTCGAAATTGAACATTGATGAAGATTACTAAAACTTGTTGTTCCGGCATTTAAATTGGTGATGAAATGTCTTCGCATGTGTTTTAGTAATTTTTATTCCGAACATTGACATAAGCGTGGAACTTTGAATTTGGATATTTTTTAATGTTTTTTCTTTATTTTTGTTTTTCACAAAACATCATTCACAAAAAATCAACGGAATGGTCCGAGTAATGTATCGTCATGTCAAAAAGCATTATCAGTCATAATTCCAACGAATTTTAAAAATTTCCAAAAAATTATTTCAGTTTCGAAAAAAACCGTCATGAGGTTTACGATTTTTGGTCTGGTTTTGAACGAGTATTTTGAGTGATCAGGATTAAAATGCGCCAATAAGACTTAAAATATTTCCTAAACAATTATTCAAAAAACAACAAAAAACTTCTGCAAAAAAATTATCCGAAAATTACAATTTTTCATTTTTATTGAGTTTTGACTAAATTTTTGAAAACCGATGTCAAATTTGCGTAGACATTTTTCTACTATAAAATTTTATTGTTTTCTAGACTAACGTTTACATTCGCTGATATCAGAATAACCAAAAACACCACAATTTGCAAAAAAAAAACGGCTCGCCTTCACAGCAACCAACTAGTCATGTTAATGTTTGTTTGTTTGCACATTCAGATTTGGTAATAATTTTAAAGAAAATCTGAGTAATGTAGTCTGGGGCGATGTCCATCTCAAGAAGCATAACGAAAACTGGCACGCGTAGACATACTTTTAAAACCCAGAAAAATTATCACTTTTTGTTCCGGCCACTGAAAACAGAGAGGCACTTTGTATTCGGTCATGATTTTGGTAACTTTGGAAACTTTGGTTCAATTGTAACATCACGTTTTTCGAGAAGAGAAAATTTAGTTTCAATTTTTTTGGAAATTTGTCGTGGGTCACGCTATTAATTTGTTGATTGAAATTATATCTCAAAAAATTTTCCAGAATACAGGCCCTTCAATTTGAATTTAGTAAAACCGATCGCTTTTCTGAATTATTTTCAGAGCAATTGTAATTTTTTTTATTTGCAAGCAATTGCTTTCACAACTTGCATTAATTTTTTCTATTGCAAAAAATACATAATCCAAAAACTTATTTTTATATAGAAAATTTAAATTTAATGATAATCGAGAAATCTGCTTTAAAAGGTATGAAGTTAACTAACCTGTCGTTTTCTCGCACATATGACATTTTGGACACTGAAAAACTCGTGACATTTCCAACTGAGATGCCAAAAGCTACTGGAATGTCGAAAACGTTGATGGTGAGAATGAGAAATGGGAACCCAGTGTCAAGAAAATTTCGCAGTAAGTTGGCCATTTTTGGCTTCGCGGAAATTCCGGTTAATTCAGAATTGAAATATACTGTTTTTAAATAAGTAATATTAATATCGAAGTTTGTTGAATCATCGAGAAAACGAAGTTAAATTTGATTACAAATTTGGCACCAAGGATGATGCCAAAGGTCACTCAGAATCGCTTTGAAGTTTATGAGAAACAGTAAAAGTAATCCGCCAGATGACAATTCCAGCATCTTTCGAAAACGAGAGCTGTAAAAGTCATAATTATGTACATCGAAACCCTAGGTCTGAATCTGATAATTATCGATTTTTAACGGGTGGGGCTTAAGCGAATATATAGAGATTATAGTTTACACAAGCTGCATCGCCGTCTAATAATCGATAGTTGTAAACTTGGTAATAAATGTGTGTCTTCTGAAATCCATATTCAAAAAATATCTCTTTGATCGTATTTTGTTTTGCTTCTGGCTGTCAGTTGATTATTCGAGCATCTAAACACTGTAGCTGTGTTGTTGGTATATATAACAAGGCTAAAACCATAAATTACTTTCTGCTTGTGAAAAGAAAATCTCGTTCGAGTCGATTGAATGGTCAAAACATAATAAAACTCAAGTCTTAAGGGGTTATGCTAATAACGTGTTTGAGTAGCTCTGAAGTTTTATAAGATTAAAAGCATAAACCGTTGAAATTTGTTAACCACTAAGATTAATTAATCTTCAGACGAATACTAGACGATGAAAACGGTTCTATTTTGAACTAAGAAAATCCCTACCTGGACCAAAACTTCGTTTTATTTTTGAAAAACACAGCAGAAAGGCTTCTGTTTTGAAAAAAAAGGCTCTATTTTAGACCAAGAAAATCCTACAAAAATTCAGTTCGTCTCAAATATAGCAGAAGATTTCAAAGCATTTGTTGTGTTTAATCAAAATAGTCAATAACTTTGATTTCTGGAGCGTTTACTTCATTTGAATATCTGATTCCTTAACATGTTTTTGGGTATCAGCTAAATTCGAGAAGATTTCGACAATATACATGTCGAAAACAACAAAAAACAATCGTAAATCAATCTAAAGAATAATATACACAATCCAAGTATCTCTATTTTGCCTGATCGAACAATACGCGACCACTTGCAATGAGAAAACCAATGAAAGGCTTGAACAACTTCATGGCAAACACGAAAAAATGCAATTATGTCTAAAATGTCTGTCCTAAAATAATTTCTTCGTTTTCACCAATACCAGATTTAGAAAATAAAACTTTGGTCAGTCTCTGCCAATTTGACACCCCCCTTTAGCGATTTCAACGGCCATCAATATATGTTAGGTCAACACAAAATTTTTCTGATATGTCGTTTTTCTATATCGTCTTTTCTTTTTTTATCGATGGGATATCTGATGTGGTCTGAGTATCTCTTAAAGAAAATGTGTGAAAATAAAATGATATATTTATATTTCACATCATTTTCTCGCTGACTCAGTTATGATTTTGAGACTCTTCGGATCATTGAATAAATGCTTTTGATTTTATACTAAACTATTTTTGGTGGTTTGGTTAATTGAAAAAAGAGATTAGTTAGCACAGGCAAATTTTGACGGTGAAGCTTTATCAAGGCTTTTGTCAAACTTTTTGACGATCAATCATTTGTTTTAAAAAGTTTTTTTTTCTACAAGATTTTGGCAAGTTCTCCCTAGGAATTGATATATAAAGCCGGCCTAATGCGTTTCAGAGAGAAATTACAGATTGAACAGCAAAATGTGGATGCAATCAGCAGAAATTGGCTACGAACTGAATTAAAAACAGTAAGATCCCCAATCCCCATTAATCAAACCCCCCTCCCTATCCTTTCAGGTGCCAATAAAATGACATAACTAACAAAAAATGTGTGCAGATTTCTCTAATAGCTGTAAGCGAAGAGAGCAAATTAGCAAGTTAATTTGTAGTATGGTTTATGGTATAATAACTGAAGCCAATTTGAACTTCTGATATCTTCAAAACAAATATTTGGGCAGCGCGATTAAAGTAAAACCAAAACTGACTACTGTATATATGTAATTTTTCCTATTAAGCAAGAGCAATGCTGGTAAATTGTTAGTTATAACAGTTATAACAATTTCACATGCAAATAGTTTGAAATGACAGGTTAAAACATTTGTCACTTACACCTTGAAATCAGTTCCTTCTTTCAAAATTAAGTCAACAACAATTTTTTTCGTTTTTGACACCCTTTAAGTTTATCAATTCCCCGATTTGATCTTTCAGCAAAAATCAGCGTTGTTAAAGCACATAAACAGCAACCGTCATCTATGAATTAGCAATTTTTCATTACTATCACAGCAATTTTTAGTCCTAATTAGAATTGAATGCAAGCTTAAGTAGAGTTTAAAAACATACTAAAAAGAATACTTTTTCAAGAATTGTACAGAGTTTAAGATAGTATCATTTTTATATCAACGATACCAGTCAGGAAGAAAGGCGTACTCTAAATGTCTTTTCATCCCCATGTCTGGTCTTCATACTAGCCTAACCTCATTTGATACAAGATTTCACGCAGAAAAATTATAATTGAGGCTGTTTGCAAGAAAAATCAAAAAATGTTGAGTACTTACAAGGGTTGGATCACAGCTAAAAGTTACAAAAATATAGTTTTGAATTGTGAGTTAAAAATTATTTGTTTGATTTACCAGAATAAGTTGAAATCAATTGGTTGAATAATCAATAAATGCCAGAAAATGTGATCTCATTTACTTCCAACTTGGACTAAAAAATTGATGCGATGAATAAATCACGAGCGCGTTTGGGATTTACATACAGCATAAATATGAAAGTAATCCGTCACTTGCTGAAACACATTAATAATGCAGCATTAATTGGGTCAATACATTTTGCAGATGAGCAATTTTTTTTACTATAAACAAATTAATTATACGTAATTGTGTAGGATAAACTAGAAATTTTTTGTTCATGTGAAGTTTCAGATCTGAACTGAATTTTATTCAGTTCAGTTCTGAGTAACGCTGAAATTTTTTTTTGCCTTCATGGCATATGACAAGTTTCCATATTTTTATCAATCCAACAAATTTGGGCACAACTGACATGATTTGTTATAAACTGGCACCCAATTGAGCAAAATTGATTTTGCAGTTTTTAAAAAATGTTCATCAAATAGCACTGAAAAAGATTTCAAGGATTCATTTTAACAGAAACTCGCAACAAATAGTTTTGATAAATTGAAAAACACTTTAAGAAGTAAAAAGTTATTGTTCCGAGTCTTAAAAAAATTGACGGAATATTTGAGTTAAGTGCAGATTTTTTTGAAACGAAGTTTGTTTTTATTTAATTAGCCACTTTGTATGAATTTTTTTCACCCTTTGAAAGTTCTTACTATTTTGAGCTCAATTTTAAAAAGATATTCCACAAGAGATCCTTGTTTGTGAAGTTATCGAGCTTTAAAAATTTTTATTTTGACCATCTTGAAATTATTACGCGGGATACATTTCACGCTATTTACGCGTAAGCCACAATGAAATCGGGCTCATAATCAATCCAAAATGAATGGAAACAAGCTATTCAGTTTTCTTATTTTGTTAAAAGAACCCCAATAGCTCATTTTGTATTCAACATTCTCTTTGAGTATACTCAAAAAACAATGAAAGAGTTCAAAAGTTTCTCTTTTTTTTAAAAAAAATCATAATTTTTTTCAAAAATAAAATTTTTTATACATCAACTTCAAATAAGTTGAAGAATTTAAGGTCTCGCCCTGATATGAGTTGTCTAGTTTTTTAACAAAAAAGTCTGGTTTCATTGTACTCAAAACCTTGTTTTTACACCAACTACTTTTAGCGCTTGCAGAAAACAGCTCTTTTTTTATTTCAACTGAAAAATGATAATGCCGCGAGTTAAAAAATTTAAAAAGTCATCAAAATTTTTTTCGTGAGATATTGGGGTTTAAGAACTGCTAATCTGGCCAATCTGGCGTAAATCAAGAGCAAGAAGTTTCTACATTTCTTTCAGCGCATAGCAAACACGACGAGTTAATCCAGCTCATTGTTCATTTCAGTTGTGATTGAGGTTCATTGATTGATTCGTAGACGCGAGCGAAGTCTTTCACGTTGTTTTTACGGAGCGTTTTCCTACAAAAAGATTTTTATTCTTTTCTTTTATTTTTTTTTCGGAAAAAATTGAATCATAATATTATCCGGAAAAACACATTTAAACACATTAAAAGACAGTTGAAAAGTTCAAGACTTCAATTTTGATACGAACAATCTGGTTCAACTGAAATTTTTTGCGTGGATAGTTTACATGTTGGAAGATACTGACTGCACAATAACTATTCAAAGCTGGACCACCGTTTTAGATTTAGATTTCAAGTGAAGAGAAACTATAAATGAAAAAACAAGTATAGTACGTAACAACGTAAACGCTCAACCTTAGTCGAAAGTTTTGATAAACGCGTCTTCAGCTGAAAATTAGTTTTATATTTACTGTCTTCGAAAACTTTTTCTACTTTTTGAGAATTTCATCATTTCATTAAAATCAATCACTACTCCATAGACGTTAAAGGGCAATTGGAACAATCAAAGCATGACTTGATACGAGCAGGCTTGTTGTATTTAATGAAAAAATAATTTCAGGATTATGTGAAACAAATAACTGTTACTTTTTTTATGAATAAAACTGATTGAACGCTACGTTATCATCAAAAAAGGATCGAAACGTAACGTTATAATGAAAGGACAATGACACTTTCTGGCCTCTTTTCAGGTGCCTATTTTGGCCTATCGGCAAACATCAGTTTATCTGATCTGTTTGGATTTTGGTATTCAAGTGGCGAAAGTCAAACATTGAAAACGAAAAAAATTTTGTGGTTTAAGTTAGAAGGAGTTGACAAATATGGGGCGTGTTAATCAGTATAAGCTGAAACTGATAGATTATGGTCTGAAGTCCAAATCTAGCATATCATAAGCAAATAACGTGATCAAATAGCTGTTAATAATGGCCATATATCAGGTAATAACTTCACCATCAGTAAATATCTCAGTTTAAACGTTAAGAATTTGAATTTAGTGATTAAACTATGTCGCGTTCTTTGTGTGACAGCATGTGTACTTCATTTTTTTTTTTTGAAATTTGAAACTCTCTAAATGACTAATTATAAGACTGCTCTGGGAAATAAGACCAGTAGAATTACACCATTTTTTGAAATCTGAAAATTCAATAATCGAACAAATCTCAAGTTTCTTAATTAAAATGAAAAATGGCGTTAGATTTTTTATCAGTTTTTAATTTTGAATGGCATGAGTTTAACTTACACGCTTCTCTCCTACAGGGATTTGAAATCCTCAGCACCCAAAGGTCCCCCTTTGGTACTATTTTACGACATATTTTACGACAATCATTTTTTTTGTCGACCTTAAAAAAGTCGGCAAAAAATCTAATAATTTTAGGATCTCAAATCCGCCGCTGATTATGTGACAGAAAGTCAAAATTTTTTTGCCTTTATACATACTGTTGATAGATTCAAACGCACAATTTTGTGCCTTTATTGTTTAGAGGTTGAGATTAGTTCATGTTTTATCTTTTCCTAACCAAATGTGGTTTTCTTATGAAATAAATAAGTTTATGGTTGATCTTGAAAATTTTCAGTGCGAATTTAAAAAACAAGGAGACTGCTCGTACATCAAGGCAACTGAAAGTTCTTAGTGCCTTTTAACTGGTCTGCAATGGTTTTTGTAGAAA